TAAATGTTATGCCATAAGTTAAAGTCATTGAAAATTTATGCCATAAAATTTATGCCATAAGTTAAAGTCATTGAATGATGCAACAGTGTTGATGTCAGCTCTCGGTTGTTTAATAATTAATAGCACAAGCCTAGTTTGCACTTGAACAGGTATATGCTATTTTTGCACTGGAGAATCCTGTGCAACTACAGACTACCCATGAAACATTGCTTCAGTGGTTTAAGATTGTAAGTGGTTATCTACTTTATACAAATCTGCAGCCCCGGATTGTGGGAGCAATTGAGCCAGCTTATTTCTCTATTAGCCATCAAAATTTTCTGCTCAGTTTGGACTAGCAAATCCTTTTGCAAAGATTGTTGTCCAGCTTTTATTCTGAATTTTCTAATAGCACTCAACCATAGCAAAACTTGAAAACAAGAAAACTCAGACTTTTAAGATAGAATAAGAAGAATATATATGGTGTTTTCTTGCTTTTGTTGTGTATGTGCTGTAGTTACTGCTAAAGAATTCTATAGAAAATCACATGGTTAATAATTATCCAACATCATACATAATCTTAGGATTATTCTGGGAATAACGTTAAATCAAGTCATGTAAATTCTGCGTAATGAGAAACTCTGGATGTAGATACCGTTTCAATCAGTTCGTGGCAATTGATTACTTCAAGAACCAAGAATGAAAACCCTCAATCACTTATCTTTCAAATCTCACTGTTAACCTCAAGCCCTCTTATCTTAATCAGGGCTAGGGAACAAGGATTCATAGAATAATTTCATGAAAAGATAGACTGTGCATTTCTATAAATGCAGCTACTGTATTGCAATTAAGCAACACACACACTGCTGCTTTGTGTCACCAGCAAAGTAAATAAAATACTGCTCTGCTTCTTATAGTTTGGAGATGAGTTCCCTGGAGGAAGAGCCATAGTTTGTCTTTAAGAGATCTAAACTTTAATGTCCAATTAATAGTGAATGGTATTAATAACATATTAAAATTCCACTATGAATTAGGCCAAGCAATTCAACATGAAGGGCATAAATAAATTAATTCAGAGTAATTTATTATAATGTTCCACTTCTCTAAATGAGGCATTTATCATTTTTTTGAGAAAACACAGATATTTTATTTATTAGACAGATTTTACATCAGCCATTATTAACATAAAAAATCTAAAAATAAAAAACATGAACAAAAATAAAGCAAATGGAGAGAACAATATTTCCCTAAACAAAGTATATCAGTAAACAAATAGAAATTCAGAAAATAAACAAATAGAAATTCTGGAACAGAAAATTACACTAAAATAAAAAAATTTACTAGAGTGATTTCATAGTACATTTGAGCAGGCAGAAGAAAGAAGTCGTGAGCTCGAAGATGGGTATTCAAGAGTATACCAAAAAATCATTTAAACCCCAAAGAAGGAAGTAATGGAGAAATTGAGAAACACAACTTCTAGGTTTCCTAAAAGTCTCAGATCATCATCCTATTATAAATAGTTCAAGGTATCAAATGGGGTATGGCTTAAAATGAAAGCTCTGTATTATGTGCTGCCTGGATGTCTGAAATCAGGAAGATTTCAGACGATCTAACTTCAAGTTCCTCCCTTCAGTGTATAAGACCTTCTAGCCATCAGTTTTTCCTATCTGGGAAGCATAGTTTTTGTTTATTCTTAGGTTGAATTTTCCTGCCAGATCACAATTATTAAAGCCAGGCAGTCACATCTGCTGCAGGAACCAGGTCTTATCTCCATAAATGTGGTTCTTATCTGACTTTCTTCAAGATAACCTATTGGCCAGTTCTTATCTGGCCTCTAAACTCTCTCCTCTTTCCACTGGCTACACATAATGAATCAGGGTCTTGATAAGCAGGGTATAAACATCAGCATTTTAAATACGCCTCCAGGGTGATTCTGATGCTCAATAAAGTTTGAAAACCACAGAATCATTTCTAGTAGGCACTGGGACTGTTGAAAGATTTGTTTATAGTTCTAGGTTGTTTTCTGCCAGGAGGCAGTGTTCTTTGAAATATGGGTGGGTTAATAAACCATGTTGGAAGTTAACTTTTCAGTCATTCTTATGCACTGCTTGTTTACGGAGCTAGCCGCAGGTGACCTTATTACAAAGCCTTAAACACCACACCACAGCAAGTGAACTTCTCTTAATTTAGTTTTCTTAGGGAAGGTTTTGGACAAATTCCAGTCATTTTAGTTGAATTTCTCGACCTACTTTATACATTATCAGGCCATTTGGTTGTTTTCAGCTTTGGGTAATGAGGGATAATTTTACTTTGTTGTTAATTTGATCCCCGAGGTAGGGACTTTGGTCATCTTGGTTATCCTCCTGACAGCTAATTTACAACGACAATCTTGTAGTAAAAATCTGTTTAACTGTGGCAAGACGACGTATGTGTGCCCATGTGTGCTTGTGTGCGTATGTGAACAAGTTCCTTATGCACGATAAGCTGGTAAAAGACAAAGTTCTTTGGCAGAACGGTTAACAGAAATAGTGGCTGAGGGCCGGGCTCAGTGGCTCATGCCTGTATTCCCAGCACTTTGGCAGGCCAAGATGGGTGGATCACTTGAGGTCAGGAGTTCAAGACCAGCCTGACCAATATGATGAAACCCTGTCTGTACTAAAAATACCAAAAATTAGCTGGGTGTGGTGGCAGGCACCTGTAATCCCAGCTACTCCAGAGGATGAGACAGGAGAATCGCTTGAACCAGGGAGGCGGAGGTTGCAGTGAGCTGAGATGGTGCCATTGCACTCAGTCTGGGCAATAAGAGTGAAACTCCGGGTCAAGAAAGAAAAAAGAAATAGTGGCTGAGCTCAACTCTTTCAGATAATGGGTAACAAGTGGATCAACTTGGCTATTACAGCTTTTCCACCTGCACAGCCAGTCTGCATATAAGATACTAATTAATGGACAGTGTTCAGCTGCTGAACTCTAATTTTTTTCCAAGGGAAACCTCACTGTCATCTAGCTAGGTTTATACAATCAAATATCAGACAAAGTTGAAAGTTGTTAGGCTCTGGCAAGGCAAAAGAAGAGGCTGTTTTGTTTTTGTTTTTAGAAAATTTAGCGCACTGTGGCATATAATGAAATAATAGGATTGCCTTGATATTTTTCTTTTCGGTTTATTGTTTTTCTCTATCACAGCAGGCTTGTATCTTGAAATTTAACATAAATCGTAGAAAAATCTTACATGGAGTTGACATCTTTTATAAGCCTTGCTAAACACCCTCCTCCAAATTTGTTCAGTATGGCATACAGACAAAAGCAAGAGACTTACAGAGAAACATTTATAAGCCTGTCCTAGAGTGCAAAACTAAAAGAATTTTAGAAAGACAACTCAGAGTTTGGCAGTACATATATTTTCTTTTTTTAAATTAGATATTACTAGATTCTAAGAATCTATAATGAAACCCAGGCCTACTATACAACCCCCTATAAACAATGTTTTGCTTTTGTGCTATCAGGTTTTATTTGAGCAGAGCCACTACTCTGTTAGTAATTTGTTGCATGGTAAGCCTCGTATTTATTTACACACGAACACATGTGCTGTGCAAGAAAGATGGTCACTGGACCTGGTGAGAAAGACCCCAAAAACAAATATTCCCTCGTTTGAATCCTGAAGGCATGTAATATTTAAACAACTTTCAGATTTAGAGGCGTTGATTTCTTCTTTTGAAAGTTTGCTGTTTGCCAAATTTACTGCTTAGTAAAGAAACTTTAGTACCCACAATAGCCTCAAAGGACACAGTATTTGGTGGCTACGTGCAAATGTAACTGAGAAATAACTAGGGAAACAATTGTTTACATCTCAACTCTTGCTGTCATTGAGATTTCCTTCCTAAATTCAATTGCTAATAAAGCTTCCCATGCCATCCACTTCCCCCACCCACCCGCCTCTCAAAAAAGCCCCCAAAACAAGCTGACAGTCTTATCAGGAAGAAGAGGCAGAGAGTGAAGTTATTTTGTTTGTCCTTACAGGGCAGAAGGACTTTATGCTGTGACAGGCATTTCCAGTATTTTGATAAACGTTACTTCTCTAAACTTGAACAACAGCATGGGGAAAATAATGTTATCTCTCATATTAGTTACAATTTGGTGAGATTTCATCATGAGAAACTTTCAAGGAGGCAGAAGTAGCTGAGAATGTGATACTAGGGACAGGGTCGCTCAAACTGCCAGGAAAATAAATCCATGAGAAAGACAGGGACGCTATTAGGTTTACAAATGATAAAACTCTCCTTGCTTAGAAAAATAAAGTCGTGAGGTTGACGCCATTGAATGGCTGCATTGTAAACCTTAAAAGCTTCAAGCTGGTAGAAGCCCTTGCACAGCCCTGTTTCATTTTTATCGGATGAAATGCATTTGGTTTCTTTTTGACAAACCATGTTTTTGTGAGGAAAGGAAAATGAACATGCGCTGTTATTGGCCACCGCAATGTAAGAAACCCTCCTGTTGCCAGCGCTACCACATGAAAGTCTCTGTGGGTTAGGGGAGGGGCCTGGAAGGGGGCGGGGATAACGGGGATGATAGCTTAAGCCTCTTAGGCTCAGAGCTGCGATTTGCGAACGCCCTGTGATGTAATCAAGCTCTGGACAAATCAAAGGAGTCTGTCAACCTCCCAGGTGGGATTGCTTGTAGTTAATAGACTAAACCCAGAGCCCCAAAAGCAGTGCACTCCGTGAAGGCAAAGAGAACACGCTGCAAGAGGCTTTCCAAGAATCCTCAACATGGTAAGGAGGAGCTCGTTCTAGCCGTGCCAGGTGGGAGAACGGAGGAATGACGGGGGACAGGCTTGATCTTCAGAATAAGTGACTGATTGGCATTTTCCTCTTTGTTGTGCAAATTAAGATAGCACCTTATTATGCATTTTGGAAGTGGTAGGATTGGTGGTGATATTGAAGCCATTTGAATTGCCTTCGTATAATTTGATTTAGTCCAGCTGTATTTGTTCAGCTGTATTTGACAACTTGGTCTCTTTATTCTCTTAGATAACATCCCTGTTCACTTTTGCCATTGGAGTCAATATCTGCTTAGGATTCACTGCCCATCGAATTAAGAGAGCAGAAGGATGGGAGGAAGGTCCTCCTACAGGTAAGTGTGCAAACGATTTGAGTTTTCAATTTTTTTAAAAATATTACAAACCAGGAAATTGATGTAAGCTTATTAAGATATTTATCTTTAATATGATCTTGCAGTATAACTAAGTCCTAAATTTCTCTGGGTAAAACCACCTATGTATCTAATTCAGGTGGGAGAGTGTGGTTTTCATTAGAGAACATTTATGATTGTTTCATAACTGGCTATTTCAATTTTTGTACTCAAATTTGTAAATGTTAAGATACAATTGAAACTCTTGTTCATAGACAAGGCTGAAGGAGAGGTGCTGAGAACAGGTGTTGGTTGAATATCAGAGCTACACAAATCTGATTTGCTGTCACATGATGTAGGATGTAGTATTTGCCACTAGAAAGTTCTGATGTAGAAAAAAAGAATAAAAGTAAAGAAGGCAGTGAACTATCTTTATGCAACTTCAGAAATTTAGGACTCTAAGATTTACTTAAAATTGGAAAAACATAAAAGAGAGGAGGTGCTCGAAGAGTTTTCAGGATTGCTTTGTACTCATTGTGTTTTCTGCTGGCAAAGGAAAGGCAAGTTTTAATAGTGACTTAACCAACAGAACCAAAGTGAAAGAGTTTCTTTTTACAATACACTGTGCCATAAGCAGTGTGAGAATTCTTATAAAGGAGCTCCTTGTGCAGTCAGAGGGGGCTTAACTGACCAGGTCTTAAGCAATGAGTTGGTTAATTTCCTGGAAATTGGAGCTGCTGATGGTTTTAGAAATAAAAAAATTACATTTTAAGTAATGGGCACTCTAGGGAACAATATTTTCTGGACTTTTCCTGACGTTCCAGCATGTCTGTCTGTCTTCCTGTGAATTTTGTGTTTCTCTGTACTTCTTGATCTGACTTTTATAAAAGACCATCACTTCCCTCTGTTTAGCCAGCATGAAATTTTATTATTAATCAAGTTTATTATTAATCAATACATACATTGATGGAATACTAAATCTGTCATAAGTCAATTAGGTTACTTTCAAATCATGCTAGAAGGTTGAAAGAATAATATTAGAAGTGAGTTAGTGAATTGAAGTGGGGTGTCCTGGGGTGAAGAGTGAGAAAGTAGATCATAAAAATTGCAGCCCCAGGGAGCCAAATGGACAAAATGAGTCGTCTTCTGTTGGAGAGGGAGAGGACAGTGGATCACTGAGCTAGAGAATGCTGTTTTTATTAGTAGCAAATGCTCTCTTCAAAGGCCTCTTTTTCACTCCCATTAATACTGACTGTGACTGAACAGCCAGGGGAATCAGATCCTTAGCATGGTTGTGTGGGAAAGCTAGCAACTTGAGAGCCAACCGCTGGTTCTTTTCAATGAACACTAAAAGGAACTTTTTTTTCTGTTTCATCTTAATATATTACTCTGGTGAAAACTGATATCGAAAGAAGTAAATGCTGTTTCCTTAAAGAATGTAAAATTGAGTCACTCATTATTTTTAAAGTTGACTTCTTTGGGAAAATAGTCATTAAAATCCTAGACTGGTACCCTGGATCGCTGTAACTTGCTATGTGGTATTGGGCAAGTCACTTGTCTGTTCCCTTAGCTGTACAATGAGGAGCAGACTTGGATGATTTCTACTTTTCTTGCTGGATTAAAAAAAAAATGCCACGAATTATTCTGTTTCATTGCTTCTTGAATTTGTATGCTCACTACTGGAAAACTTGAAAAGTATAGATTAATTAGTCTTTGAAAATATTTTGTGTATAGTAAATTATTTCCATATGTTATAAGAATAACTATACGAACTAACGAATAAATGCCACTTTTAGAAAAAGAGTATAGTCTGTATTGTAATTTGTAAACCTAAATGGTCATAAGTATGCTACACAAATTTGCTCCTTGAATTATTTAATTAAGTCATTGGTTATTTTAGGCCTTTATGATATCATCTAAAATAATTTATTAGTTAAAACTTCTAACCACATGAATCTTAGTCTTAGAATACAATGCAACAGAACTCTAAATTTTGTGGTTTGGGTATGCCTGCACCCTTTTTAATTTTTCTTTTGATGTAGCTTATCTGCTTTTTAGGAACTGTGGTTGATTTCTCTCCTGGATAAAAATCAAAGATGTACTTGGTAAACTAGGCAAAAGCATACTGTAGACACTATAAATATTTTTATGTTTTTAAATGCTGCCTATACTTAGAAAGGATCTCTCTCAACTGATACACGTGACTGGTTATTCTATGATTTGAAAACCTTCCCATCAGAAAACACTGGGTAAATTTTATTAACTTGTGAGAATAAGACACTAGGAGGAAAGGCAGTGATGTCAAATTCCAATGATACTTTTAGGCGCCAAAGAAATCCTGGGAAGCTCAGTGCTCCAAGGGTGTTTCAACAAACAGAAGGAACACAAATGCTATTGATATATGGCTAGCTTTGGATTGATCAGGGTGAGATCCACCATTCAAAAGCAGGCAGTTGTTCAGTAACCATAGCTTCTCAGAGTCCTCAAGAATAGCTGAGAATGTTCTGCACACATAGAAGCCCTCGCTGCTGTACTATGGACTGGGGTGTTAGTTTCAAGTCTGTGGCAGTGCAAACAGACTGTTATAATTAATTAACTAACACACTTGTTACTTGGATTTATTGTTAGAATAGGAAGTAATGGCTGAACAAGATTTCTTATACCAGGTCATAAGAGATTTATAGATTTATTAGGAGATATGAAATCAGAAAAGCTACTCATAATTCTGTTGGGTAAATATAATGGGCATTCAGGTTAGTAAGATGGTGAGATGACTGGAATAAATTTTCAAAAAAATATAAATCATAAGTGCAATTTAGTTTGACATCTTTGTTTCATATGTCTGATGTGGTCCACTTGCTTTGCCTTTAAGACTGCAAGGCAATTTATATGTCTGCAGGTGTCTGCGCACTCATGTGCGCTTGCAGGGTGTATGTTTGTGGTGTTATCCAGGAGGAGACTTGTGATTTAGAAACTCTGTCTCCAGGTAAAAATAGAATATCCTCTTTGATGTGTAAGTAATTTACTTCTTAAAAGACAAAGGGAAATTTGTGGGCTTGTGAATATTTGGCTAACAGAGACTTAAAAGATCAGTTTAATTCATCTTGTTTTTAGTGGCTTGAAAAGAAAGTTGAAAAGTATGTGAATGAAATTTATAGGTTCATATGAAATGTAGACTCTCACTAACAACTTTATGAGTAAGGCTTTTCTTTGAGAATCATAGGGAAATCAGAAAATGGTACTAGAAGTGAGAAGGTTTACGTTCATTTGATAATTTTAGAAATGTTCTACAATGAAAAGCTATTTAAATATTGGCATAGTAGAAAGTAGGAAACTGTAAAGCTGACATAGATCAGCCATTTGCTCTGTGAGCAAAACTCTCTCATGAGGAATATCCTGTCATGGGGCTTCATGTGAAATTTCAGGTAGAAACTGGGGAGTTCAAGGCAGCGGAATGAAATTATCTGAACTGGAAGCTAAGGAGGGTACAGGTTTTTCAGTTATTTGTTAAACGGGGCTGTAGTGTATTGATTTTTTCATTTATCTGAAAACTGTAGGGAATCCCTTTTCTTGTTTACACACTCAGAAACCTCAGTCTTCCATGAAGTTCAGCCTAGATTTTTGAATCAATAAAGTCAGCAAATCTTCCTCAAAATTATATTTTGAAAAGAACTTCTAGAATTTGAAACCTATGTACGAAATTTGAAAAACCTTTTGTTAATGGAAAAAAATAGTTACAGTGAGATGATCTAAAATTTTATCCAGGCCTTTGCTAACTCATATGAGGCCTAGAAATCTAATTTTCCAACTAGGAAAATGGGGATAAATTTGCTTTTATTGATCTGAAAACGTTTTTGAAAATGTGTTTAAGGCTGATGAGAACTGTAAGGTGTTAAGTATATGATAATGCATTTAATTTATCTTCAATTAGGTTTGAAGGCCAGTGTGTAAATTTATAACTTATGGAGGTAACAATACCTTTAATTTTAATTGACAGCATTTCATTGTTTGGTAGCAGATGTGAAAATCATTAGATTTTGCTACTGATGGCCATTAAATACTATTTAAGTGGTTTAGACGTTGAATTAAAGTTTTTAACTTTTAGTTTCAATAAAACAGAAATCTGCTTTTTTCTTTTTTTTTGTAGTTTGTGATCTCTATATAAGGACATTCTATTGAGAGAGAGAGAGAGAGAAAGAGAGAGAGAGAGAAAGAGAGAGAGAGAGAGAGAGAGAGAGAGAGAGAGAGAGAGAGAGAGAGAGAGAGAGAGAGAGAGAGAGGGGACTCACTATGTCTCAGACTGGAGTGCACTGGTGGGATCTCAGCTCACTGCAACCTCCACCTCCCAGGTACAAGTGATTCTCCTGCCTCAGCCTCCTGAGTAGCTGGGATTACAGGTGCCCACCACCACACCTGGCTCATTTTTGTATTTTTAGTAGAGACAGCGTTTGACCATGTTAGCCAGGCTGGTCTTGAAATCCTGACCTCAGGTGATCCACTGGCCTTGACCTCCCAGAATGCTGGGATTATAGGCATGAGCCACTGTGCCCAGCCAGGACATTGTATTTATAAATGTTTTGAAAGCACAGGTGTTTAAAAACTTTCCAGGTGGACCTATTTATTAAGAAAAAAGTTTATGAAATCTGGTCTAGCAGCTGTGAAGAGGAGAGAACAGTGATGTTGCAGTAATGGGTATTTATAAAAAAATGATGTATTTAGGGAGCAAAGATACTGACATGTAGGCCTGTGTGTAAGTTCTATTTACTAAGGAAAGAAGTCAGAAGCATTAAAAAAAATGGCAACTTCAGTACAAAAGAAGTATGACTCAAAAGAATGAACCATATACTCCAGAAGAGGCATAGTACAGTATTAAATACTAAAGTTGGGCAGTATCTTGAATGCCATGCACACTGTCCTCTGCCTTGCCCTGTGGGTTACACTTCAAACAGGGAAGCAGGAGCAGGGGAACCTCCCTGTTTTAATGCTCTTGAGAAAAAAGGGTG